AAAACGTCAGCCTTCCTGCTCCTCTGATGCTGCTTGGCCTGCTGTGTTCATCCAGCTCTACACCTTGTTATCTCAGATTCTCCAGCATCTGCAGTTCCTACTATCCCCTACAAAGCTGTTTGTTCTGTCCTGGTCCTGGTTTGGGTGCAACCTGTTGGACTTATGCAGGTCCTACCTTCTCCAAAATTGAACCCAGTATCCAGGAAGATAAGCTTTCCTGTTCCAATGCTTCAGCCACACGTTCATCTGTTCTATCCACCTATTCCTATACTCACTAGCACATGGCACCAAGAATAATTTATAGATTACAACCTTCGATCTGCTACCTAATTCCCTAATTTGTTGTCCCTAATCAGCTCTCTGACACCTCCTCCTACTGCCCCCTTGATCATGACCCCATCCCCGACCACCAAAACATTTAGCCTCCCTAACTTCTTGTTGCAGGACCTCATTCCTCTTTCTGCCCATATTGTTTGCCCCAATGTGAGCCATGATCTCTGACTGTTTGCCCTCTCCTTTAAGAATGCCCTGCATGCCCCAAGGAGGCAACACACTATACTAGAGTAATATGGCTGCAGAAGTGCCTGACTGAACCCTTCACTATTGAGTCTTGTACTACTATTGTTCTCCACCTGCTTCTAATTACCACTTGTGCACCTGGGCTCTGGCTGCAGTCCCCAGTCGGACTGTCATGCTCCCCCTCTTCCAATACAGAAAATCTGTGCTTGAGCGAGATGCACTCCAAGGCTTTCCTGACTACCTACCTACCTACCTCCCTCCACCTGACGGACGGTCATCCATTCCCCCTCTGACTGCACTTCTTTAAGCTGTGCGGTGACCACTTATCAAAACATGCTAACCATGTAACTCTGTCTCACAGATGCACTGCAGTGCTTTCAGCTGACCCTTAAGTTCCAAAACCTGGCAGTTGGTCTGATCAAACCGATGGTAATCCCTACAGATGTGGTCATCCAGGCTGCCAGGAGTGTCTGAGATTTCCCATGCATGGCAGATCATGCAACACACAGGACTGAGCTCTTCTGCCATATGTTCTCTTAGTCTTAAACATACGTTAACTTCATCCTCCTTCCCTTGTCCTACCTTGGGTAACATATCACTTTACTATATTGCTCCTGACTTGACTTAATTCTGATGCTCAATAATACACCATTTTAATTTATAGTAATTTACAGAAAGTCCTTTACAGCAGTTTCCTACGAAATCTTAAACGTGTTGGTGTTAATTGTGCAAAATTCTGGAAAGTTTCCATCAGGCTGGAAAGTAGCAAATATAGCCCCTCTATTCAAGGAGAGAAAAAGCAGAAAATAGGAACCTATAGGCCAATTAACTTGACATCCATTGTGAGTAAGTTGTTGGAATCAATCATTAAAGAGGTATGGCTGTGCATTTAGAAATATTCAAGACAATCGGGAAAGGTGAGCATGGTTTCATGAAAGGAAAATCATGCTAACCAATTTATTGGCATTCTTTGAAGGAGTAAATGTTGGGTGGATAAAGGGGAGCCTGTAGATGTACTGTACATTCCAGAAGGCATTTGATGAGGTATTACACCAAATTTTCTTGCAGAAAATATAAGCTTACGTTAAGGTGGTGGTAGTTTGGTGGATGTTTGCAATGTATCAGCGTGGATGGAAGATTGGCTGGCAGATAGAAAACAGAGTGTGCATTAATTGTCTTTGTCTGATTGGCAGGATGTGATGAGTAGGGGCCATTCAGCCAAATGTGCCAGCACCAGCTTGCTAAACGGAAATCATTACTGTGTGCCAATCTCCTCCTTTTTCCCCATACCTTGGCGCATTATTTTTTATCCACAAATATCCAATGCCCTTTGAATGCCACAATGGAATCATCTGCACCACACTTGCAGGCAGGGCATTCCAGACCCTAAGTACTTATTGTATAAAAATGTTTTTCTGCACATCATCATTGCTTGTTTTGCAGATCACTTTCATCAATGCACTCTTGTTCTTGTTCCTTTTATGAGTGGGAACAGTTTTTCTCTCTCTCTGTACTCTATCTAGCACACTCATGATTTTGAAAACCTCTAAACTGCCTTCTGTCCAAGGAGAACAGTCCAACTTCTTCAATCTATCTTCATCACTGAAGTTCCTCATCTCTGGAACTAATATTCTAAACTGCCTCCCCGCAATGCATTCACATCCTTTCTATAATGTGGCACCCAGAACTGTACACAATATTCCAGCCAAGGTCTAAGAAGTGTCTTATACGGTTCACCATCACCTGCTTGCTTTTATACTCCATGCCCGTATTAATGAAGCCCCCTACCCCACACACCAGGCCTTGTTATCACATAGCCTGCCATTACACACCATCTATTATTAGTCAGTAACAGTCTCCATTAACAGCTATTCACTCTCCTTCTAGATCATTATCAACTCCTTTGTCTATCCAACTGCTCTTCTCTCTCTTCGGGCTTTATCCTTTATCCTGTTGTTTACTCCCTACCCCATCCCCCTCCCTATTTATTGCATCATAAACCAATGTTTTCCTAGCTACCATGAGTTTCTGAGGAAGGGTCATTGGACCCAAAATGTTAATTCTGATTTTTTTCTTTACAGATGCTGCCAAACCTGCTGAGCTTTTCCAGCAATTTTTGTTCTTGTTCCTGATTTACAGCATCCGCATTTCTTTCGGTTTTTATCCTAATCTCAATGCCTGGGGAACTCCGCTACAAACCTTCCACCAGCCTAAATATTATCCGTTGACCATTACTCTTCATTGCCTGTCACTTATTTTGTATCCATGCTGGTCCTGACCCTTTTATTTTACAACCTATAACTGTCCTCACACGTGTTGCATAAAACACCATTTGAAAGTCCATGTATACTAAATCAACAGCATTACCTTCATTGAGCCTTCCTGTTAACTATTCAAAAATCTCCAAGTTAGCTAAAATTATTTCCCCATCAAAAATCCCTGCTGACCCTTTTTTTAAAAGTAAAACCATCTTTTTCCAAATAAAAAACTGAAAGAATTGCAGATGCTGGAAGGCAGAAACAAAAACAGAAATTGCTGGAAAAACTCAGCAGGTCGGGCAGGAAAGAATGGGATGATGCAATTGAAAAGGCATAATTGGAGAAAATAAGCATAAGAAGGTAATTACTGGAGGGCCTGACCTCCTTGAGAATGTATAAATCACCAGAACTGTATGAATTGTAGTCCAGGCTATTAAAGGAGGTCAGGAAGAAAATAGTGGATGCTATGTGGATCATTTTCTCAGCCTTGCTAGAAAAAGGAGAGGTAGCCGAGGATTAGAATCTGTGAACATTGTGAGAGGTGCTGGTGTTGGACTGGGGTGGACAACGTCAGAAATGACACGACACCAGGTTATAATCCAACCGTTGCACTTTTACCTGGTGTCATGTGATTTCTGACTTTGTGAATATTGTACAATTATTTGAAAAGGGTATGAGAGATTAGCCAAATAATTATCAGCTGTTCGGAATGGCTCTGTGGTGGGAAAATTAAGAATTATTATTGAGAAAGGGGAATAACTTACTTGTGGTGGAGCGGATTTGTCAGGGATCGTCATTATTTTGTTCAGGGAAGATCAGTGTTTTACCAACTCTGGAATTCAATAAACGGGATGGTATTGAGTTGGGTAGAGCAAGTGACAGACCTTGGAGTGCATGTCCACACGTCCGTTAAGGTGGTGCCTCAGGTAGATAAGGTAGTATAAACGCAGGGATGTAATGCTTGAACAATGTAGAGACAGTGGTTTTCCACAGCTGGAGTTCTGTGTGCAGTTCTGTTTACGGAATGAGATGAAGGACATAATTGCTTTAGTAAAAGTACAGAGATCTACAAGAATGTTGCTAGAGCTTGAAAATTGGAGCTCTGAAGATTGATTGGTTAGGCTAGGGTTGTTTTCCTTAGAACAGAAAAGGCTGAAGGGTGACTTAATCAAGATGTACTAAATCTTGAGGGCTTGGAAAGGGTGGACAGGGAAGACCTGTGACAGGGAGTGCAGATTTAAGGTGGTTGATGGAAGGATTTAAGGGACATCTTATTAGTTGTCTAGAATAACATGGTTGTCTTTGTATGGGCCTCAGTAGATTGTCTGTTTCAGGAATGTTGCAATGTTTCTGTTTGCAGGTGACCCTGCGCTTCTTGTAGATTAATTCAGGACTGTCATTCCTAACACTCTAACAAATGCTAACAGTGGTACTACTGAGTGGCTGGGTTAACATGTACAGTCAAGTATCTTATGGCTGAAAGTGAAAATAAATCGAAGTGGCATTTCTCCGAGGTAGTCATGCATATCACTGGGTGGGGAAGAGGAAACATTTGCAGTTTTGATGGGAATGTAAATAGTGGCACGAGTAGGCCATAGGAAGCCTCTAGCCTTCTCACTGTTAACTTGTAGCAAGACTGAATTCCACATTCTAGCCCTGAGTACCCAAAAATCTTGATGAATGTTCTCATTGACTGATCATCTGTAGCTCTCTGGTATAGAGAATTCTAAAGGTTCACAAACTTTAGAAGAAATTTCTCCTTGTATTGATCTTAAATAGCCGACCACTTACCTGTGGCTCTCCAATTCCAAGACAGAGGAACCAGTGCCCCAAAAAAAATCCTAATTAAGTCCAAGAATGTTCTTGATATCAATGAGATCAGCCCTTCATTCTTTCTTCTGAATTCCAGGCCTTTGAACTGTGTTTAGAAAGAAAGTATCTTGGGTTGTCATTCTCTGATAGCAAAGTGCAAATACTGCTTAAGCTGGTTTCGTACAAGACACGTGTCCAAACATTTTCCCTCATAGAATGGAACTTCCTTGTATTAATTGGAAGAGCTTTCTTGAGTCTTTCTGTGAAATCCCAGACGAAGGTGTGTGGTGTATTTACCCCAAATAATAAAATGGCACCACTTGCAGGCAGACAGGGAGATGTTTAGAGTGTACTGACTTCCTGCTTGTCCCATGAGTCATTTTCTGCTATAAATCTGAAAACTCCAGGAATACTGCCATTTAAAGAAGATATTTGACTCCCCTGAAACCGTGTAATTCACGAGGAACATCTCTGCTAACTGACAGTACTGTAGAGTGAACCACTCTTTAAGAGTGAATCGGGACATGCTCCAGAGATATTAGGGCAGCTGCTTTTAGTTGGAGCATATTCCTAACATTTTCTTTTCAAGTCCCGCCTGCTCCAGAGGTGTGTCATAAACATTCCCGAACAGATGAACTTTCTTTTGAAAAAAGGCATTGGTTTTCCTGGGCACTGGAGAACTGGGGTGCATAATTTTTCCACTCCAAATCCATTAGAATTTTGTCTCCTTCCTCTCTTTTACCCTCCCCAATTTTCTTCTTGTTATTGCACTGCCCCTGGCTGGTCATGCTTGTTAATTGTTTAATTTGTCAAACGGGTTATTTGGCAGTGGGTCACGCAAAAAGAAAGGCTTGTTTTCCCGACAAGGGAGTTGGCTAGGAAGGTTAGAGAGCAAATAAACTATAAAATGCAAATAAACAGTTGCTGAAGACACACTGCTTTGGACCAGCGATATAACCACCGAGTGGCATTTCTTCCAGTAGTGAAATACTGTACGATCTTTCTATGAAGTTTGTCTCTTTCGTAGAATTTCAGGGTTGATATCATTCGGTTGGAGGAAGATATGCTGGAGTTTGACATGATTGGAATCGATGCTGCGATTGCAAATGCTTTCCGCAGGATCCTGCTCGCTGAGGTAATGTGACGTATTATTTGAAATTTAAACATAGAAAACAGCTTTTTTTTTCATGTGCAGGGAATTCATCTAGACTTTGAGTAACTGTGTGATGTAGCCTGACCTTTGCATTTTGATGCCGCTGATGAGTGGCCACTGCAGAAATGTTCAGTTTGGTTTGGGAAATGTAATGGATCCCTGCATGTTTCAGCCCGATGCTGAACTAAACAGGTCCAAAAGACTGTATAGTAGTTTGACCCCTGCTCTATGCTGACTTTGGTAGCCAGGGCAACAATGATCAGCTTCAATACACTTGGCATCACAGCCAAAATTAGTCGTCCTCTATCTACATCCACTCTTTCAGTAATAAGGAGCAGGAATTCCTATCCACTCCTTTTTGATTCATTCGCAGGAACACCTATAGTGTAACATCAGATTTAATGCACACACTGGTTTGGTTTCCCATTGAAGTTGATGCATAGATCAGCAGAATTATAGCACCTCCATCATTGAGCTGTCAGGAATCACAGAACGTTACAGCGTGGAAGGAGGCCCTTAGCCCTATCATGCCTCCACTGGTTCTATTACCTAGTGGCAATCTGCTGTCTTTTCTGCTTATCCCTGCACATCTTTTATATCCAGAATATCATCCAAAGACCTCCTGAATGCCTCAATTGAATCTGCTTCCACCAGATTTCCAGGCAGTGCATTCCAGACCCTGACTACTCGCTGTGCGAGAAAGTCTTTTCTCTTAGATCGCACTTGCTTAGTTTGCATGCCCCTTTAAATCTATGTTCCCTCATTCTTGTTCTTTTGATGAACAGGAATAGCCCTCCCTTTTTACTTAATCAGCCCACTCATGAGTTTGAGAACCTCTATCAGGTCTCCTCTCGGCCGCCTTCTCTCTGCTGAGAACAGTCCAACTACTTCAATCTATCCTTATAATTGAAGTTTCTCATTCCTGGAGTCATTCTTTGTAAATCACTTCCGTGCTCTCTCAAATATATTCACATCTGTTCTATAATGTGGCACTGCGCACAGTATTCCAGTCGAGTATTCGACTAATTCAGTACAAACTGGAAGCGGAATATGTGACCATTCTGGTTTTTTCCATGTATGGACAAATCAGATGATCTCAATGTCTATTTGCTAGACCAATTTTTATGGTCGCTATCTGACATAATTTGCTCTTATATTTAACAAATTGAAGCAACTACATTGAATCTAACCTGAGCTATTGTTTAGGTCCCAACTATGGCTGTGGAGAAGGCATTTATCTACAACAACACCTCCATTGTACAGGATGAGATTCTGGCACATAGACTGGGGCTCATCCCCATCAAAGCAGACCCACGACTGTTTGAATACAGGAGCGCAGGTGAGGAGGTTGCACTACTTGTGTTATAAAGAAATGCCCAGTGGTCTTCCTGATGGTTTAATTGTGTGTTTTTTAAAACCTGGGAGCTAAGGACTGATCCAAGTTGGAGAAAATGAGGGGACAAATTAAATTATCGCCTTCCCATCACTCTTTGGATTGCAAGACATTGTATGCTTTTCAATTTGAAATGAGAAGAAAAGGAAATGTTCTGAACAGAGAAAGTGATTGGTATGATGAGCAGATGGTAAGAGGATCTATAAGTGAAGAGAGCGTAGAACATGAGGGTCTGCAGACGGGGTGGGAAGGTGGAAAATATAGTGTGACAGTTGATGATACAGAGTTCAGACTGCAGCAGCTTGGAATGCAGCAATAAGTGGGCACACACCTCCCCAGAACAAAACTCTAATGATCCAGATTGCACCTCTGTCTGCATGCCTGCTAGCTCGGCAATGCAGTGTGCTCAATCTTTTCCCAGGAAATTGTCACAATTGCATGCGATCTTGCTCAGTTCAGAAGGTTGTCAAATAACCTTGAAGTTTAGATTAAGGTGACATGACTGAAATATGTAAGATCCTGAGTGGGACATCACAGTAGTGTTATGGTGCAGAAGGAGGCCATTCAGCCCATTGTACCTGCACTGACTCTTCAAATGTGCATCATTACCTCGTGCCAATCTCCTGGTCTCTCTCCGTACATTGAACATTATTTCTATGTAAATAATCATCAAATGCCATTTTGAATGTCTCAATTGAATAGGTCTCCACCAAGGTTCTGTGCAGTCCATTCCATACCCTAATTATTGCTGTATGAATTTTTATTCACATCATGTTTGCTCCTTTTGCAAATCACTTCAAATCTATTTCCTCTCATTCTTGTTCCTTTTACTAATGGGAACATTTTTTCCCTGTCCACTCTTGTCTGACAGCTTTTTATTTTGAAAACCTCTATCAGATCTTCTCTTAGCTTCCTTCTCTCCAAGGCGAAGAGTCCAAATTTCTTCAATCTATCCTCACAACTGAAGTTTCACATTCCTGGAGTCGTTCTTGTAAATTACTTCTGCACACTCTCCAGTGGGTTCACATCCTTCGTGGAACATGGCACTATACACAGTACTCCAGATAAGTTTGAAAAGTGTCTTGTACAAGTTCAACATCACCTCATAGTCAAAGAGATATACAGCATAGAAACAGACCTTTTGGTCCAACTCATCCATGCCGATCAGATATCCTATATAAATGTAGTCCCATTTGCCAGCATTTGGCCCTTATCCCTCTAAGCCCTTCCTATTCAAATACCCATCCAGGTGCTTTTTAAATGTTGTAATTGTACCAGCCTCCTCCACCTCCTCGAGCAGTGCATTCCATACATGCACCACCCACTGCATGAAAGAGTTGCCCCTCAGGTCCCTCTCACCTTAAACCCATGCCCTCTAGTGTTGGATTCCCAAACCCCGGGGAAAAGACCTGGCTATTTACCCTATCCATGCCCCTCATGATTTTATAAACCTCTATAAGGTCACCCCTCAGCTTCCGACGCTCCAGGGACTTTTGTACTCTATGCCCCTAATGTTAAAGCTGAGGATCCCCTAATGCTTTATTAATTGCTCTCCCCACCTGTCCTGCCACTGCCAATGATCTGTGCACAAATACACTGAGGTCTTCTGCTCATGCATCCTTTTTAGAATTGTAGCTCTGATTTTATATTGTCTTTCAATGTTCTTTCTACCAAAATCCATCATCAATCTCTTCTGCAATGAGCCTCATCCATCACATATCTGCCCACTCCACCAATTTTTCCATGCTCTCTGAGTTCCACACTGTCCTCCTCATAGTTTCCAATTTTTCCATGTTTAGTATCATCTGCAAACTTGGAAATTGCCCCTTCACACACAATCCAGATCGTTAGTTTCTATCAAGAAAAGCAGGGGTCCCAGTACGGACCCCTGGGGATCTGCATGACAGCAGTCCCTCGGTTGTGAACGGGTTCAGGATAATAGAAAATAGCCATTTGTAAGTACAAGGAAACACTTGTATGTTGGATCTTTAAAATTACACCTCTGTATGGGATTGAATTAATAAGTGCAAGCATTTGTAAGTCAGACATTCTTAAATTGGAGACTCCCCTGTACAAGCCTTCCTCCAAAAATAATATCTACTAACCATTACTCTCTGTTCTCTATCACTCAGTCAATTTTGTAAGAGGATTAAGTTGCCATTGTTCCAGGGGACTTTAGGGCTGAATCTCATTACAGACAGACCATTGGTGGTGAGTTTAACCTGAGGGTCTCTACACCTCGGGCAAGGTGCAAGGTTGGGAAGGCAGACCTTCTTGCTAACCTCGGCTGGTGCAGGGATTTTATCAACTTTATATTCGCTCTGCTGATGTTTTTTAATTCCATGGCCACAAACTTTTCTCAAGTTTGTTGTGTGACACTGTATCGAAGACCTTCTGGATTTCCATGTGCATTTTCAAGGATCCACCAGAGTCTGAATGTTTTTTTGACGGAGGTAGATAGATTCTTGGTAAGCCATGGATTGAAGAGAATCAGTGTTTGGCAGGAATGTGGAATTAAGATTACAATCAGAGTGGCAGAATAGGCTGAAGGAACCAAATGGCCTACTCCTGCTCCCAACTCGTGTTTGTTAAAATACTCATGATATAATAGTTTAAAATGTAAACAGCAACATCACTTAATTAAGCAATAGTTTACTAACTTAACAATCTCTATCCAAGATAGGAAAAAAACAGCATGCTGTTGTGATTGCTGTTTTATTAAACTGCAGTGTAGACATCAATAATAACACAGTGTGGAGCCTTGTCCTGACCCGAAACGTCAGCTTTCCTGCTTCTCTGATGCTGCCTGACCTGCTGTGTTCCTCCAGCTCCACACTGTATTATCTCTGACTCCAGCGTCAGCAGTTCTTACTGTCTGAGTGTAGACATCAATTTGCTTAATGGACTCATTCTTATTCACAGTCTTTGGAATTTCTCTGACTTCATATAGACTCAACTTTAACGTGATAAGTTGAGAACTATTTCCAAGCATGACAAAATGGTGCTGTTAAGTTGAAAGTTTTGCCAATCCAATAAAATCTGCAAAATGCTTGCATTTGAGTTAAATGACCTCGCCTTTTTCTCAGAGATGTGGCCTGTATTCGGAGCTTTGAAACCAGACTGACTATTTTCTGAGGGTAGCTGATTTTTAACTTCTTCCTTTGTAAGTGACAAATAAACCACACCCATATTTAATTTTGCCATATATGATTTACAAGTACTCAGCTTGTAAAGCAGTATTGGAGGAGTGCTGCATTGCTTGATATACTGTTTGTCAAATTGAACATTCTAACTAATATTCCACTGGTTCATTTGATCATTAATGATTCTGTAGCACAGTTCAAAGGGACAGTGTAAATCACCAAAAAATGATCAAACTGCTCTTTGACCAATGCTGTGTGTGGGACTGGGCCAGAATGGCTGCGTCATATGACAGGCACTGCATTTCAAAATGTACTCTTGTAATAAAGATTGATGCATGTGTTTGTGTTTTATTTATTCATAAAGGGGATGAAGAAGGGACCGAGATTGATACTCTTCAGTTTCAACTTAAAGTGAAGTGTACAAGAAATCCAAAAGCACAAAAAGATTCATCTGACCCTGATGAGCTGTATTTTAATCATAAAGGTAAATAATCTGCAGTTCACCACCATCTGCAGGTTTCACTCACCGTCTGACTTGGAAATATATCACCGTCTGACTTGGAAATATATCACCGTTCCTTCTCTGTCACTGGGTCAAAATTCTGGAATTCCCTCCCTAACAGTATTGTGGGTCATCCTACAGCACATGGACTACCCCGGTTCAAGAAGGCCGCTCACCAGCACCTTCTCAAAGGCAATTAGGGGTGGGCAATTAATGCTCGCCCAGCCAGTGTTGCCCACATCCCATGGGCAAATGTTCAGGTTTGTAGCATCTTAAGATATATGGAAATGCAAAACCTCAGGGAGTCTTGCTTGGCGCAATTGTAACAATAATACTTCATAACAGCACTGTATGTGTACCCTGCCATGGGCTGCAGTGGTTCAAGACAGCTCACCACAGCCTCATCCAGAGCCATTAGGGATGAGCAATGAATGTTGGCTTAGCCAACAACACACTCATTCCATGAACACATACATTTGTATAAATAAACCATCAAAGTTCTCTTGAATGAATGCTCGAGAACAGTCCTGCATTTTTCCATTTGTCCTTCCAGTCTACTCGAAGCATATCAAATGGGTACCAATTGGAAACCAGGCTGATCTGTTTGGGCAGGTTGACATCCGACCCGTTCATGATGATATCCTGATTGCTCAACTCCGCCCGGGGCAGGAACTCGATGTAGTCATGCACTGCGTGAAAGGAATCGGTAAGGTGTGGGAGGAAGTCTGTACTTTGCAGCACCTTTTGTGGAGAACAAATCTCTAAAGGATAAAGGGAAGCTTAAGATACATACCGAGGCTCAATATTCTGTAAACTATAGAGAGTAAATGTGTTGGGTGCATTTGAAAGGGAATTAGGAAAACAAAGATTGGCAGGTAAAATCAAGGAAAACATAAACACCTTGTAAATTCAATAAAAGTAAAATGATAACTAAAGAAAGAGTACAGTCTATTAGGGACTTGGATAAAAACTTGTCATCTGCTTTCACAAAAGAGAGGGAAGGTATAGACATGGCAATATTGAAGGAGGAGGGATGAAATATTAGATGAATTAGCCTAATGCGAGGGATGTTTAATATTTTTGGAAGTGAGTATGTACCCAGGTCCAGATGAAACATATCCTAGGCAGTTAAGGGAAGCTAAAAATGAAATCGAGGATACTGTGAGATTGCGTTCAAAGAACCAGACGACGAGGATCAGTGAGTGGCGAAAATAGCCTCTTTATTGTACATTCACAGCAGCACGATGTAAGGCAAAATAGAATGCCAAAATCGTAGCTCAAAAGCAGCCGTTTTTACACAGATTTCAAGCATACATTAACATTCTAACACCTGATTGTTAAGCAGTAGATATTGTACAGAAACGGTTTTGCAGGAAATCAGAGATGGTTTAAACATTTGCTAAACATTAGCAGTTATTGTTGAGTGTTAATGAGATTAGATTGTCTGTCTGGTTTGACCTTGCATAATTCAAAAGGTGTTAGTCTTGTTATTTTAAAGGTTAGAATTTTAAAGTTAGAAAAAGGCATCTTGTGTTTTTTTAAATAAAAGCCTGAGTTCCCAACAGTTTTGATTACCTGTAGTTTTTATTTACTATTGCTTGTTTAGTTAGCTTCATGGTCACACCTGTTGTAGTAATGCTGTCAGTTTCATTCATTCAGTCAAGGTCACGTGGGTCTGGACATAGCGCTGTTAGTTTTGTTAGTAGCTTAAAGGTTGCTTACATACACTGCATAACGTTTGTTTGTTTTATTAGTGGGATAAAGCTTTATATACATGTTGAATAAAATCTTGGGACAAGTACCTGGTTACATAATACACAGGAAAAGTCTGCAGGGAAGTAACATTTTACTTTAAAGGAAGTGGGCTAATCCAGTTATCACCTTTGACTGATACTTGGAGCTACCCTAGCTGGAGGGATATAGATAAACGACTTGGTAATAGCACCTATTCACAGTTGGATTTGAATATCAAACAACACTATTTTTGGTTTGGGAGTGCAAAAAGATTCCATCCTGTCGTATCTGTGCAGCTTTGTTAGCCGTCACACCTGACTGCACCTTTGAATGGAATTGTCGGTCTTGTTAAATGGGGTTGTTTACATAGCACGTTATGGATGAGTGCACTTTCAAGTGGGGTGTAATCGCAAATTGAAGTGGTTGTAACCTAATATGGTAGCGAGCCCCTGAATTAGTTTGGGCAGGGTGGCTGGTACATGGAAACCTGCGGTTAGTATAACACAACTTAATGGGTTAATGGATTAATAGACATGATTTATGGAGTTATATTAAAAGTTAATAGACATGAATTCTGATATATCAATACTCTGACGTTGTTTTGCTGCATCTTAGGCTCCAGCTCCAGTGTCAAAGGATTGTAAGGTAGATAACATTATACCCACTGTTTAAAAATAGATTACAGGTTAGGCCTGTCACAAACCAGTTAACCTAATCTCAATGGTGGTAGAGATACTGGAAAATTCAGAGCGACAGGGTAAATTTTGATTTACAAATACACAGACTAATCAAAGATCCAATAAGGTGTTTCTGACAAAAATTTAATGTTTTGAGGGTGTCACAGTCTAAGGATATGGGGTAGGCCATTTAGGACTGAGGTGAAGAGGAATTTCTTTACCTAGGGAGTGGTGAGCCTGTGGAATTCTCTGCTGCACAAAATGGTTGAGGCCAAAACGGTGAATGTTTTCAAAAAGGAGTTGGATATACTTCTTCAGGATAAAGGGATCGAAGGGTGTGGGCAGAAAGGATGAAGTTTAAGTGCTATATAATTATGTTCTTTCTTGTGCTCCCCATTCCCTTCAGGTAAAGACCATGCTAAGTTTTCTCCCGTGGCCACAGCAAGCTACCGCCTTCTTCCTGATATAACTTTGCTGAGTCCTGTGGAAGGAGATCTGGCAGACAAACTAAAACAGTGCTTCTCCCCTGGTGTCATTGAAGTTCAAACAGTGAATGGTCAGTAAATCCTTTAATGTATAAAAGGTATAATTTTAAGATTTATTTTCTAAAGCACTTGGGATCAGAGAATAAAGGGGGAAGATTTAAGAGGTATTTAACATTCCACTAACAGAAGTAAAAAAATAATTGTGAAGAACACAGAATGATATAAATGCATTGCTTATGGTGATCTGGAGTGTACTGCTTGAAAGAGCAGGGGAAGCAGATTCAAAAGGCATTTGGATAACCACCTGAAAAGGGAAGAGAGAAGCCAAAGTGAACATACATCCCTTGGAGAATGCAGATGGGAAATGTTAGAGACGGTGAATAAATACTTTGCATCAGTTTTCATTAGAGGAGATAGTAACAGCATTCTGATATTACTCAATATCAAAGTTGCAAAAGGAGGAAAGGAAATAAATGGAATAACAATCACTACAGAAAACGTCTTGGGGAAACGAATGGGGCTAAAGACCAATATGTCCCCCGGATTGAATGCAATGCTCAGATATTAAAGTAAGTAACTACAGAGGTAGTGAATGTCCTGGCAGTAATCTTCCAAGAATCCTTAGATTCTGGAAAAATCCCAGAGGATTAGAAAACTATCACTGTAAAGCTTTATTTAAAAAGGGAAGAAGACGTAAAAAATGTTAACTATAAGCCAGTTCACTTCAAATCTATTATTGGGAAAATGTTTGAGCTGATTATGAAGGATGCAATAGCAGAACATTTAGAAATATATAATATGATCAAGCAGAGTCAGCATGGCTTCCTGAAGGGGAAGTTATGCCTGACAAATTTGCCAGAATTCCTTGAGATGGTAACAAGCAGCATAGATTAAGGGGAAGCAGTGGATGTAGTTGGATTTCCAAAGATGTTTGATAAAGTAGCATTTTTAGGCTACTTAATAAGATAACCCATGATGTTGGAGGTTGTATTTTAACATAGATACAGGATTGGCTAACTAATAAAAGACAAGAGTTGGGATAAGGGGTGGATTTTCAGGATTGTAACCTGTAATTCACAGACAGCTACAGGGACCAGTGTAGCTGCCACAATTATTTAGAATATATTAATGACTTGGATGAGGGAAGTGTGCTTTTGCCAAGTTTGCAGATGGCTAGATTAGGTTAGGAGAGTCAGAGTCATGGCAACAAGACCAACTAAGTCTTTCCAGCATCTATTTGTTTAGGAATGAGGGGAGTCTTGTGTTGAGCTGAGTCATGGGCACAAACTTGTTGTGTTGGGTGGCCTGTCCATCTACAATCAAGTATTTGTCATGTCTGAGATTCAAACTGACAATAACTTGTTTCATTGATTTTTGTAGAGTATTACTCCATGCTGAGTGAAATCCTGGTCATGCCAAATGCACTATCTTTAGCTTCCATAACGAGACAATATTGTCTATCTTCAAACGACAGAGTTGGGGAAGTGCACTTTTTGTTACCCTACTGATCCATCGGTCACACTCTGAATTCGCACTGAGGAGGTTTGAAGCAGTTAATCTGAGCTGGCTAGTGTCTGGTGGTGCGGTGGCTCAGTGGTTAGCACCGCTGCCTCTCAGTGCCAGGGACCCGGGTTCGATTCCACCTTCGGGCGACTGTCTGCGTGGAGTTTACACATTCTCCCCGTGTCTGCGTGGGTTTCCTCCGGGTGCTCTGGTTTTCTCCCACAGTCCAAAGATGTGCACATTAGGTGGATTGGCCATGCTAAATTGCCCATAGTGTCCAGGGATGTGTGGGTTAGGTGGATTAACTGTGGGAAATGCAGGATTACAGGGATAGGGTAGGAGGGGGAGTCTGGGTGGGATGCTGTTCTGAGAGTTGGTGTGGACTTATCGGGCTGAATGGCCTGTTTCCACACTGTAGGGACTCTATGGTATTGGACTGGGATGTCACATTGATTCATTTCACATAAACGCTGGTCAATTCTTCCTTTTCTGTTAGGGAGAAAATTTGCAACAGTTGCGAATCCTCGCTTGGACACTTGTAGTCGTGAGATTTTCCGCTATGATGACCTTAAGAACCTTGTCCGTCTTGGCAGAATTCGAAATCACTACATCTGTAAGTAAAGGCTGTGGATAGATTCTCATGGATTAGTTTAGCAAACTGATGGGTAAATGGATTGATTGTTGGTAATGACAAAGATTACAGACCAGTTGTTTGATTTTTATAACTGACATTTTGTAATATGATTTTTCACTCTTTGTTTCCTCCGCCTCAGAGGTGTTATATCTTGCATGAGTCAGTTACTCTCATGTCTGAGCCCAGGCTGCATTTATTAAGTGACAACTCACAGTGAAGAGGCACATTAGATGTAAGCCCCATCCTGTCCTTGCCTGACACACTCGCACATGAACGTTTCTGTTGTGGCTGAGTGGGTAGCACTCTCACATCTCCAGACCTGGGACAAGAGTTTTGACTGTCAGTCCAGTGTAGTAACTGGGGGGATGAGAGGTTTAACCCAAACGCTGTCTACCCTCTTGGGAGGATGCAAAATATCACATCACTATATTTTGAAGAAGAGTTGAGAGGAATCATCCTTGGTATCCTGATTAATATCCCTCAGTCAACATCATAAAAAATACTCATCTGATAGGAGCTTATCATCTACCAATTGCCTTCTGTATTTCCTGCATTTCAGTAATGACAACCTTCAAAAATAAATGCATCAATGGCCCTCAAACACTTGGGAACATCTTGCAATCATCAAAGGTGCATTTTTTAGCATTTTCAGCAGAAGTCCGAGAATACTAATCAGAAGTGTTCCCAGCCCCTGTTCCCAGCTGCTGAGGCCAAATGTAGCAAAGTCAGCAGAGAACATATATACACCCCATGGAATTGAACACATTGCCAGTATATTATGGACTGCAGGAGATGGACTGGATGTTCATGGTTCATACAATCAGCTGGAAATAAGCCAGGGTACAGAGCTGTTTAATGTCTTTCAAATAATGGACTGTCACTTAGAATAGAGCTTTCAGAAATTTTCATGTATCAGAAAAAAATTTAAGCTAACTCAGAGGATCTGAGCCTTGGTGCATCAGGCCTGATATTTGTCTTGGTTTATTGAATAAGAAGTGGAAAGGTTGGCAAAAGTTTCTACATCAATCTGTTAATTTCAATCTGGTAAAATGTCTTGTGCTGTTTGACTGGAACACTACATAAACCACACAAGAAGACACAGCCAGGTGACCAAAGCGAGACTGTGGGTTCAGTTTTGAAGGCTCCTCTGGAAAAAGGAGGGAGAAGTTGTGAGATCTAGTGAAACTCTGGTGGAAGGTGAGTGTGGGCATTGGGTTTTGATGTGAAGAGCCCATTACTTCCACAGTGATAAAGCAAGGTGCAGGAAGGCAGCCAGAATTCAATAAGATGGAGTGCCTTTAAGAGAAGACAATGAAATAACCTATTTATTTTAAAAACAAAAGTTGTTTGAGATTTTGTACCACTACTGTTGACTAATCTTGATTATCTTTCAAGTTTCAGTAGAGTCAACAGGAATTCTTCTCCCTGAAGTGTTGGTGTCTGAAGCCTTGAAAGTGTTAATGACAAAATGCAGAAAATTTTTGAATGAACTGGATGCAGTACAGGTGGAGTGAACATTGCAGACTGGTGCAGTTGTGTCTGGGCTGAGAACACTTTGAGGAGTGACTTTGCCACAGGCAGAAGTGGCGGTGAGAACTGTATCTAAGTGTGTTACAGCATCATTGACTGAGGTTCTCATTCACCTCCCCCAGTATTATCAAGGATTAACACTCGTATGAGGCATCCAGCCAAATACGTCAGCAGTCACCAAGACCTTGTGAAATGCACCTGAATTTTTTTCCAAATATTTATCCCCACATGGGTGTGTATACATGACACCGTATTAAAGAATTAATACCTTGGTCACAATTCTCTTTCTTCTAGGTGCAAAGCTAGTGTGTGGTAAAAGTGTTTGCATCAATGACATTGTTGCAAAATGATTGACCGACTGTGGAATTATCAATTATCCCGTGTCTTCGACTCATGGACATTTCCAGCACAGGAGGATACCATTGTGTCCATGCCAGTCGACAAAGATCTGATTATACTAATCCCATTTTCAGTTCTTTGAATCTATGGCAATGCACTGAATATCTCAATGTTACAAGAGTTTCTGACTCAACCATCCTTTCAGTTGAAAAATGTTCTCATTTAACTCCCCTCTTAGCCTTCTACCTGTGACCTTAAATCTATGTACCCTAACCCATCTCCTGATGGAAAATGTCAAAAATCACAACACCAGGTTATAGTCCAACAGGTTATTTGAAGACACCAGCCCTGCTGTAAGCGTCCTCCAAGGTGGACTTTGAGATACACAACAATGCAAAATCACTGAGCAGTGGCTGATAGCCAAGTTCCATTCCCATGAGGGTGGCCTCAACCAGGACCTTGGGTTTGTGGTGCGCTACAGGTGACCCCATCACACTGTATACTCTGTCACACGCACATATACACACGCTCTCACACAAACACACTTACACAGACACACACTCGCACATTCTCTCAGACCCTCTTTCTCTCACACCCACTTTCTCTGACACACCCACCCACACACACATACATACACTCCCTCACACACACTCTCAAGCGCGCACATACTCTCTATCTCCCTTCCCCCCCCCGTCTGTGTGTCTCTCTCTCTCTCTGACTCACACACACACACACAATTATTTAATCCAAGATATTTGTGTGTTTGCAGATACATTCTGTTTTGTTCAGAAAAATAAAACCAGCCTGACTCCAGGTTAAAACACAGATTCTAAACAAAGCCTCACACCTAAAATGCATTGTCTGACCTGAGATGTCACGTCTCGTATATAGTAATAAAACCTTTAATTATCTTCAGGCAATGACTTGAAAGAAATTCTGGGATTTGCATTTTAATCAATAGAAACCTGTGTCTCCTTTCAAACTGATTAAAGATTCAACAGGAGGCGGTCAGCGAGCCAGTTTTAGGGTTAACTTTCTGCTTATAAATTCTGTGTCGATATACCTCCTGTTCCACAGTACACCTGAGAAAGGAGCAGAGCTTTGAAAGCTTGTATTTTCAAATAAACTTGTTGGACTATATCGTATGATTTTTGACATTATCCAGCCCACTCCAGCACCAGCACCTACGCATAATGGAAAAAGTGCCTTCTTATCCATGCCCGTTATAATCTTGTACATCTCTATTGGATCCCCTCTCAATGTTCGCGGCTCTGAGGAAAAACAACCTCGGCCTACCCAATCTTTCCTCATTGCTTAGACCTTCCAGGCCAGACAGCATCCTGGTAAGTGTCCTCTGCACCTTTTCCTCATCTTATGGTAATTTATGCACAAGGACTATCCACATAACTCTCAGCTTTGCAGATACACTGCTGTGCCTCCAGCCAACACTCGAGATCCAAACCCTGGCACTCAAGCTGATGAAACCAGTGGCACTTCCTGCAGATGTGGTCATCCAGATTGTGAGGAAAGTCAAAGATTTCCCACACACTGCAGCTAGTGTGATACACAGAACTTAGCTCCTCTGACACAACTTTTAAATAAACTCTTACCCTAAACGTAAGCTGAATGGAACACACGTGGCTTTCTTAACAATAGCAGCAGCTAGAATGCTTACTTTTCTTTAGTGCAACTTTAAAGTGGACAAAAACAGTTTATCTACTGCCAGGCTGTGATCAATTACAACAATCAGTTGACTGTTTGCATTGGTATCACTTTCTTCGGCCTCTTTGAATTCTGGCATGTACCTGTAGGCATTTAGCTGGCGTTCTGACGGAGCTTGATCTCAGCCTTGTGCCTCAGGCTTTTCTCCAGGAAACTCTTGCTGCTGCCTTTCACCCCCAGGTTTGCTGTGCTGCACTGCTGCTCCAACTGGTTCTTCTTTGTGTCAGACAAGGAAGCCGAGTCTACTCTATCAAAAATCCATCAAGTTTTACATTGAACTAATTCAATTACTCATGTGGCACTGCTTTCTGGGGAAATGAATTTCATAGACTGACATTCCTCTGAGAGACAATAATTCTACACATCCTCTAGGAAACCCGACAAGGGGAGATGGATGTTGGTTTGTGCTGGGACCATGGAAAGGTCAGGAGACATTGAGACCGCCTATGCAAGTTGCCACTGAAGAGTGATTGGCATTATTTCAGACTCTTTCTTATATAAACATGATGGAGGGAGGGATGGGGGGAATGTGGAGGTGTTGACACAGACCATGCAAGAGGTAAGGAATTCTAGTAAGGAAGGCAAGAGAAGGACGAGATTGATAGGACAGGCTAGCAAGGTACGGCACACCTCTGGAACACCTCTGTGAGAACGTATCCTCAGTTGAGGGCAAGGGAATGTGTATCGGAATCAATTATGTGGAAAGTATCACTATCAGAACAGATGTGACGGAGGTGAAGAAATTGGCAGAATTGTGATTGTGGTTGACAGGGTTTCCCACCATGTTCAGTCCGTTTCAAACACTTTTCCATCACCAATTGTGAATTATAGCTTTTTTTGTGTTGTTTGGCTAGACTGTTTGCCTATTTCTTTCTTTACCCTCATTTTGTATTCAGATGTAGCCATTCATGTCTTATTTAGAAATAAACTTCATTTCTTTACCATGCAAACACACTAAGTTTTTTGCATCACAAAATCTTTTGTTATATAGTCTCCTTTAGCCTCTATCCTGTCACAGGTCCCCTTTCTTCCTGCCTCCTTCCCTTTTCCACTGGCTCTAAAACTCTTACATTTCTGTAGTGCATCAGTTCTGTTGGGAGGTCATCAGCCTGAAACATTGATTGTTTCTCTCCACAGAAACTGTCTGACCCAGTTGAGTACTTGCAGCTTTATTTTTGGCTGTGAATCTTCACCTAGAGCCCAATTAGAATGTAGAACCTGTTAGTACGGGGAAGAGTTGAGGGAAATTGTGTGTAATTAAAAAGGAGATAAGATCAGTAAGTGAGAGAAAGGAATACACAGATACGTTGCTGCATGTAGATGAAAAAGGCTAGGAGAGGATGTGTGAGGCATTTAAACACCAGCACAGAGTAGTTAGGTCAAATTACCTCCCAAATACTCTCCTTAGTCAAAAATTAGACGTCACCAGGTTATGGTCCAACAGGTTTATCAGCCTTGAACTATGAGTTATAGAGTGGGAGAGATCAAGGACCTTTCAATACTACATAATTTAGCAAGTTCTATTTTCAGTAATGGATGTACTCAAAAAGGATTAGGAGACATATTTTGTATAATATAACTCTTGATTTCCTTCTTTTATTTACCTTTCTCTGTGTTTTAGTCTAGTATACTTTATGTTTAAGATTGGAAGCATTTGAACATGTTACAATTTTTAGGAGAAATTTTGTACTATTTACATTGTATTTGGTAATTTAAGATGTACATTTCCCTTGAGAATAGCTGCAGAATAAACTGCAAAATAAAGCCAGATGACCTCGGTTTAAATAAAGATCGCACATTTTGTTTAAAAAAAAAATAAAAAGAGATATTTTCATTAAGATTTCTCAGAAATGTAAATTTGTGAAACATGAGAGCTTTTAAAACCCAACACCTGCTGTGTGTGCTGTAGCATGAGGACTCACTAATTTATGCAAATCTCCCACCTCAAAGTGTAGTGATTGTAATGAGGTCAGTCGGGTAGATCTCATAGAACACAAGTTCCCTGAGATCAGGCTGTTAATCTGGTCCAATCAGGGAGCCCTGGCTGACATATAAAAGGAGCGTCAGGGGTTCTGCTCATTCTGAGAGCTGGCTCTAAAAAAGCTGGATCAGTGTCAAGCACTCTCAATGTATAATTACAGGTTGGAACGCCATCTGAGAGGCCCAGTAGTAAATGCGGATCTCTCGCTGGCAGATACACCACCGTCAGTGGAAGATCCATAATAGTTTTAATTTTTTTGGGCACACTTCCAGTCATAGCTGACAATATCAGACTTTGGATGCAGAAAGATCCAGTTCTGGCAAAATTGAAACAGCTGGGGGTGATGAGGGAAACCAAAGGGCTGTCACAGCCAGAACTGAAACTTTTTTGGACCCAGAGAGACCAGATCACAGTAGAGGACAGAATACTACTATGGGGAGCAAGAGTGATTGTCTCAAGCAAAGGCCACCACCAGATACTGGCTGAACTCCACCAGGGTCATCCAGGGATTTCTAAAATGAAGATGCTGGCAAGAGGTTATGTCTGGTGGTCAGGACTGATGCAGATATAGCTGCGATGTCCTGAGTGCCAACAAGAACAAACATTACTGCCAGCGGCTCCCTTACATTCATGGGGAATGGGCAGGTAAACCCTGGACTCAGTAAAACACAACTTTGCAGGTGCTTTCATGGGCTCAATGTTCTTAGTTATTGCGGGCACCCACTCAGAATGGCTGGACCCGCACAGAGTTCATTCGTCAAACAGGGGGACGGTATTAGAAAACTGCGTGCATCTTTCACAATACACAGACTCCCGGGAGTGTTGGTCACAGATAACGGGCCATTGTTCACCAGCAGGGAATTTGACTATTTCCTAAAGTTGAATAGTATTTGTTAATATAAGGGCAGCTCCTTACCATCCATCGTGCAAAGGTCTGGCAGAAAGAGCAGTCCAAACTTTGAAGGCAAACTTAAAGAAAATGCCTGTAACTTCACTAGATACCAAACTGTCCTGGTTCCTGTTTGATTATAGGACCACCCCTCATGCAACTATAGGAATAGCTCCAGCAGAGTTGCTAATGGGGAAAAGGCTCTGCACCAGGTTAAACCTAATCTTCCTCGAATGCAGTGGTGGCGGGGGGGGGAAATGAAGCAGCATCAGGAATGGGACACACGACCGTGCTAAGTGAGAGATACAGTTTACTTCAGAATTGAAGTTTGATGTAGGAAT